GGGCCTTGTGAAGCATATGTAACTCTCACACATCTCTTTCCCTTGGGAGCTGCATGGTGCACAGGCAACTCACTCTCCCATGCTATATCATACATGTTACGTGATGGGTGGCCCCCTGGGGAAAACCCTACAGCTGGTTTGTGAAAATCTTGTTGATGCTTTTATTGTTACAATTAATATTGATAATTTAATTGCATGTAACTCACAGAAAACAATAAAAAATAACAAATTTTTCATTAAATTAGGATCATTTTATTTTTGAGGTTTTTATTCTATTTTCATAATAAAACATCATGGCCCCAAGGAAAAATTCTATAAATCATCTTTTAATTTTCCTGATAATATTCTTTGCACAGAAGTTTTTAATTTTGACGAAGTCTGTTTTATCATTTTTTTCTTTTGTTGCTTTTGCTTTTTATGTCATATCTAAGAATCCATTGCCAAATCCAAGGTAATGAAGATTTACCCCTATGCTTTCCTCTAAGAGTTTTATGGTTATAGTTCTTATATTTTATGGTCTCTGATCCATTTTGAGTGAATTTTTGCATATGGTGTGAGGTGAGGAGGAGTCCAACTTCATTCTTTTGCATGTGGAAATCTAGTTGTCTCTATACCATCTATAGAAGAGACTATTCTTTCTTACACTGAATGAACCTGGCACCCTTGTCAAAACTCAGTTGGTACTACGTGTATGAGTTTATTTCTGGACGTTCTATTCCATTGTCTATATGCCTATCCTTATGCCAATACAAACTGTTTTAATTACTATAGCTTTGTGGTAAGTTTTGAAATCAGGAAGGGTGAGTCTGCCACCTTTTTTGTTTTTTGTCCAGATTGTTTGCCTACTTGGGGCCTTTTGCATTTCCTTGTGACTTTGAGGACTGGCTTTTCCATTTCTGAAAAAAGCCACATCACTTTTTTTAATCAGCTATTAAAATGTTATAACTTCAAATATTTCCATATATCCATGGTCAAAACCAAGTTTCTAAGAATTCTTTGCTAATTATCTACTTAGTGCCTAAATAGAAAAGAAGCACAAGAACTTTAATTTTGAACAGAATTATTTCCTAAGCTTTATTCACTTGTTCCCCAAAAGAAAATAAGAAACTTTATTTGTAATTCATAAGTAATTTGACTTATCATTTTACAGTCACTTTGGTTGAAGCAAAGCTAAAATGGATGTGGGACAGAGCCTGCTACCAGTGTATTCATTGTTTAAGCATTCTATTTATTTTAAATATGCATTTCAACATAAGGCATTTAGGCACAAAGCTAGCTTGAGCAAGGTAAAAATTGTACTATCAGGAGTTCTGATCAAAATGGCAAGCTGAACCAACATAAAAAATCCTCCATTCTTTTCCACATACACAAAGATACAGGTGGAAAATAGAGTGATAACAGCAACAACAAAACCCTGCTCCAAAGATAACAACAACAACAAAACCCAGCTCCAAAAAATGAAAGGGAAATCTCCAGGTGTTAGAAATAAAAAAGAGCAAAAGTCAAGTAAGCAGCAGGGGATGCCAGCTGTAAAGAATGTAGTCTGCAGGCTTACTGGGGAGGCCTTTAAGAGCTGTGGAGTGAAGCCTCAGAGCCCTGAGGGATGGTGCATGGCAAGAGTGGAGCTCCTCATGTAAGTCAGATTCCTCAAAAAGGCTGTGAAACAGACATTAGACAAAAGAAAAGAAAGTAGCAAGAATGCTTACAGTGTGTTTGAGTTCCTATAAAATAATAATTAGAAGAAAAAGAATAGTCAGGAATTGGCAGCCCAAGCTTACACCTCCTAAGTATGTGTAAGTATGAGTGAATTTATACTGCTTTCAGTGAGGCAGGAACTATTTTTCCCCCACAGTAAGAAATTAACATTAAAAATGATCTGATATCAAATCAAAGTCCAGCTCCATGTTGTGATTAATAAAACTACATATAAAACTAAACACTACACAGAAAACTAAAAACTACACAGAAATTTTCAAAAAAAGGGATAGGGAAAAAGAGCAGACAGATATATTTTACTCACAAAAATGACAATTTCCTATAATTCAGTGAATTCTTTAAAGAGCACTAGTGGAACAATTTTAATTTCAGATTCTTGAGGTAAAAGCAGTACTGTGGATAAAAAGATTCAAGGACAATCAAGTAAAAAGATAAAATAATAGTGGTTTTGAATGTGTTTACTAATATAGTCTCAAAATATATACTGCAAAAATTGTATTACAAGGAGAAATCAACAAACCAATAATAACAGTATAATTTTTAAGTACTTCTATGAGACATCATTTGACAAAAATTTAAGATGCAAGAGTTAAACAACAAAATAAAGAACCTTTTTCAACAAATAGTAATATACAGTCATGCATCACTTAACCGCAGGGATACATTCTGGCAAATGTGTCTTTAGGCAATTTTGTCCTTGTGCAAACATCACAGAGTATACTAGATGGTATAGCCTGCTACACACCTAAGGCTATATGGTATATAGCCCTAGAAGCCCATTGCTTCTAGACTACAAACCTGTACAGCATGTTACTATATTGAATACTGTAGGCAGATGTAACATGATGGTAAGAATTTGTGTATCTAAATATGTCTAAACATAGAAAAGGTCCAGTAAAAATACAGCATTATATTATGGGACCAGCATTATATATGCAGTCCCTAGCTGACCTAAACGTCATTATGTGGCACGTGACTGGATATTCTTTTGAAATACATCCCTCTTTTCTAAATTTACCTCTATCCTAGACCACAAAAGAAATCTCATAACATACCAAAGAACTGATATCATACAGATCTCATTCTCTACTAACAGTGTAATAAATTTAGAAATCAACAATAAAAACAAAATTTAACTCCATGTATTCAGAAACTAAAACAAGTGCTTCTAAGTAATTCATTTGGAAAGAAATCACAATGGAGGAAACTTGTTTCCAACAGTATGACAGAATAGACCCTCCAATAAACACCTAAGAAACTCATATGAAATGTGCAGTATATACCATATTTTATATACATTAGTATATTAGGAAGACAATAAAGAATTAAAGTATATTAGTTTTAAAGAATTAAAGTATATTAGTAGTCTATAGTTTTAAAGAATTATATTAGTTTTAAAGAAGTAAAGTATATTAGTATTCAAAGACCAACAATAGAAGGAAAGCAGAAGCTCCAAGAGATAAGCCTTGAGTGTATTTGATGAACCCAGGATTTTTGAATTTCTATTTTCATGGGCTGGCAGGATGCAGGGGATAAAAGTAAGGCCCAGAACCCTGCCCAAGCAAGATTGGGACTCCAAACAGGAGATTCTCTGATATAAATCTAGGACTTCCAAAGGACTCAGCCAACAAAGTAAGAGAGCTAGAGCTAAATCCTAACACAAGAGTTGTAGTGAATAATTAGTGTGTCATAGAGTAAATTATTATTAATATTTGGTTACTGTCAGCATTGGTTTTTTAGAACATTGAAAGTAGTTCTGCTGCATGTAACTTTTGTTTCAATTTTTGTGTGTTAAGGTATATTTATCTAAGAATATGTGTATGAGTACACTTGGCTACATCGTTATTTTTTACCATTGTTTCAGTCTCGGTCAAGTAAATTTGAAAGCTACCTTGCTCATTTCAGCGTTGTTTATAATAGCAAACTGCTGGAAGCAACCTAAATTTCTAGCAGTAATAGTATAAATAAATATGATTTTTATACAGTGGAACATTATTCATTAGATAAAATGTAAAAGTTACACCTACTTATGTTAACATAGATAAAACACAAAAAAATATTGAGTGGCAGAAACCAGGTGTAGAATGATAATAGTAGTATGTATAATTCAGGGTTTTTTTTTTTTGTTGTTGTTGTTTTTGAGATAGAGTCTCACTCTGTTGCCTTGGTGAGAGTGCTATCCTCCTGCCTCAGCCTCCCGAGTAGCTAGGACTACGGGCATGCACCACTATGCCCGGCTAATTTTTTCTATATATTTTTAGTTGGCCAATTAATTTCTTTCTATTTTTAATAGAGATGAGATCTCAGTCTTGCCCAGGCTGGTTTCAAACTCCTGACCTTGAGCGATCTTCCCGTCTTCGCCTCCCAGAGTGCTAGGATTACAGGCGTGAGCCACCACGCCCAGTCAATTCAGATTTTTTTTTTAAAGTACATACTACGATATGTTGTTTGAGAGAGGTAGACACCAACTTTAGTGTAGTTACTTCTGAGGATGGAAAAAATAGAATGGCATTAAGGCAGGGTTTCAACAGGTGGTACAAGCTTTCCAACTTTGTGTGTGTGTGGTTGTTCATGTGCATATGAAAGAGAGCTTTTACCTTAAAAGAACTGAAAGTGAATAGACAAAATGTTAACGTAGGGGTGATAGGTATTTGGATATTGGTTATATTATTTCCTACACTTTTCTGGTGTTATGATACTTGACTTTCTAAAAAATTATATCATGCAGTAGATTGATAACTATTGCAATTTTCTTACAGGGAGAGTCTTAGAATTATGCCAGAATTAAATTTGTAGGTGTCATTTAGAAAAGCAGATTCAGTTATATTAATGCTTGTACATTATTATGGCAACTTTAATTAGATGACAACTATATGATTGTATGAGTACAGTAGTCAAACTGGGAAGAAAAAGGCACAGGAAAAGAATAAGATATAAAATCCAAAGTATGAGGGCTTATTTTTGAGTTACTTAGTTTTAAAAATATTACCATATTTTTAGAAAGGGAAAATACAGAAATGTAATACTTTCAAATCCATAAGAAATGGCTCCAAAAATGCGTATTGAATTAGAAGTTCTGATGAAGAAGGGAAATAGTTCTCTCTGAGTATTGCATTCAGGGAAAAATATAGAGAAAATAACTACCACCAACTGAATAAAAGTTAAAACTTTTTACATTATTAAAATTGTAATTTGCTGCTAACCAGAAGGCAACAAAATATACAAAACATACATAATGTATTGATCGTTTTATCATTCCCATTTTGTTTGTTTGTTTTACTTAGCTGGTCACTTGACTTTTGAATGCCGCAATTTTCTCCGAGTAGACCCCAAAAGGGACATAGTTTTGGATGTCAGCAGTACAAGCAGTGAAGATAGTGATGAAGAGAATGAAGAACTGAATAAATTTCAGGCATTACAGGAAAAAAGTAAGCAATACTTTTTTTCTCCATTCTTTTGAAATGTTTCTAAATGTTAAGCTAAATGACAGCTTAGTCTGTCATGCTTATCGAAAGATATCACTAAGATAGATATCTTTTGTATTTTATGTAAGAGCTACTGCATAGGTAACGGAAATAGGCTTCAATGCTTTAAGTCACTTACCTAAGACCAAACAGCTAATCAATGATAGAGCCAGGAGGCAAGTCTTCCATGTTTGGGGCTTTTTGTTGTTTTTTTTCTCATCACAGTAGGATGTGCCGGTGCAAAGAGTTTGATGTAAGACTTGGTTTCTCACCCTATTTGGCCAATTTGTTTTAGCATGTGACTTTCACCATGTCACTTAACCACTCTGAACCTCAGCCGCGTCATGGGATAACACAAAAGATTAGATTGTCAAATCATACTCACCAGATCAGAGATCTTAGCCAGGATCAAGCTTTACTAATAATTTCAAGTATACAAATAATCATGAGGCATTGACAAAGCAGAGAGAGTTGTGGAACTGCCAATACAACAATACTCCCCAGGTATTTTCTTTCTACTTCAGAATCCACTCTGGTCAAGATTAACGTAAGAAGTTTGTGTATTACTTACACAAAAGAAAGTTGATTTGGTCATGAGACATCTCCATTTTATATCCAGATAGTTACATTTTCCTGGGCACCATGCCCTGTAAATCCTTAGATTCTAAGTTTGTTTATCATGACAATTTTAAACAACCCAGTTACAGCCTGCTACAAGCATTCCATAAATAAGGATTCTCTGGCTAACAGATATTATTTATTTGTTTCCAGGATGTCTGTTATTAGTGTATTTCAAAGAGCTTTGCCCAGGTTACCTGCTTTCTTTCCTGGGGGTATCCTCCTCTCCCCTAGAGAGAGAATAGATTACAGACCTACAGTTTATCTATTTCTTTCCCATCTTGGGAATAAAATGGCTCTTCCTTGCAATAGGGATTTCAGGGAAAAAATGTGATGGCTAAGTCAAAATACTTTGTAAACTACCAAATGCCATATTAGATATCACACAGAAACAAAATGCAACTTATTTGAATATGGTGTTAGGCATAGGATGAGAAGTTAAACTCATTTTATTTTAGATTGTCAGAGAACATTAAACAATTAACTTTTTTTAAAAAAATTAAGATTTCCATGTTATATCCAATTAAGGTAAATGAAGAAGTCAAATGTAAGGTGCTAGAACAAGCTGAAAAGGCAAAAGAGGGACAGAATCCCAAAGAGGACAAACAAGACTTATTATATAAGATGGGGAGTAGTTTGTAAAGCTTCCTTCTTAGAATCAGCTTTCCAACCTCACATCAAGAATGGCTAACTCAATCTAGCCATTTTTTTCACCCTTAAAAAGATATATTCTTGCCCATGGTCACTTAAAGGTTAAGAATTTGTTTCCAAGAATTATGACTCTCAGAACAGTACTCATTTCAGTATCTAATGCAAATTCTAATAATAACATACTATAAAAGGGTTTCTTTTTTATTTCATGGTCACGTAAAGAAAACCTGATCACCCCCCAACCCAAGTAAACAATAGATTGGTTCCTGAGTATATGGACAAATGTAGTGTAGAGGTTGTGGTTCTTAGTTTCATTGATCACTTTCTGATAATTGCTAAGAATCTCTGAAGATATAAAACACTAACCTGTTGAGTGTGAGTTCTCCATCTCACATCTTTCACATAGTCCTGGAGACTCCTTAAACCCTTCCTTGGTCCTTAGAGGTAGAACTCTTTAGTAACAACATCTTAACACATAGACTGCCACACTAGAAAAAAAATTTTTTTCCTTGGGGCCATGGTGTTTTATTACGAAAATAGAATAAAAACTTCAAAAACAAAATGATCCTTTCTAATTTAATGAAAAATTTGTTATTTTTTATTATTTTCTGTGCATGAGTTATATGCAATTAAATTGGCAGTATTAATTGTATCAATAAAAACATCAACAAGTAAGATTTTCACGAACCAACCTCATGAATTAAGAGGCTTCACGAGGCCCCAGGCCCAAAACCAGTATGAGTTAAATACAACTCACATGGCAGTTAATATGTTAAATATAATAGGTTTTTTCTATTTTAGTGATAGAACAAAAATAGCCAGGGGAAAACAAAGGATTTTTGATGTATTTATGCAATTAGTTACTTGGCTGTTATGAAATATAGAGATGAAAGAAAGGGAAGAGAGAGAAATGGACCTTATTCTGTACCATAAGGTAAGTCTCAATAAATTTTAAGGGATTCAAGCCATACAATGTATATTCTGAAGTATATTCTGTAACCACAAGGAAATTAAGTTAGCAATCGATAGCAGAAAACTACCTGCAAAATTCCTAAATGTTTGTAATTTAGCATACCTCTAAATAATCTATTGGTGTCCCAGGAAATGAGTGGGGAAAAAAAAATAAATAAAAAAAATTTAATAACTTAATAAGGTATTGGGTCAAAGAGAAAAAGCAAAAGGAAATTAGTAAGTATTTTGAACTAAATAAAAATGCATTGGTGGGATGTCCCTAAATCAGTACTTAAGAGGCAAATTTATAGCACTGATACATGTATTAGAAAAGAAGAAGAAATCAATGACTTCAGTTTCCTCCTTAACAAACTAGACCAAAAAAAGAAAAAAGAAAAGAAGAAAAAAAGAACAAATGAAACTGAAAGGAAGAAGAAAGGGAATAATAAAGATTAGATGTAACGTCAATGAAATGGAAACCCGAAAATACAGAAAATTGAAAATCCATCAAAGCAAAAGCTGGTTCTTTGAGAAGATCCATAAATTGAAAAATCACTATTTAAACTGACACTGAACACATTTTAAAAAGTCATAAATTACCAATAGAGAATTGACAACACTACAGGTTATATGGCTATAAAAGGGATAAGGTGATATAATGAACAACTTCATGCCAGTAAATTAAATCACTTAGATAAAATGGACAAATTGCTTGAAAAATAACAAACTAAGTACAAAAGTTATATTTTACTTAATTCTAATGAAAGTAATTTCCAAGTAAATAATAAATAAAATGAGTAGAAGATTTGGACATTTTACTAACAATAATATACCAAAGACAAGAACATAAAAAGATGTTCAACATCATTTTAATTGGGGAAATGCAAATTATAACCATCCTGAGATACTACTCTGCACCTATTAGAATGTCTGAAATTTACAATGTTAAACATACCAGTCATTTGCAAGATGTAGAAGAACTAGAACTCTCAATCACTGCTAGGAATTTAATATGATATAACCACTTTCGAAGACAGTTGATGGTTTCTTCAAAAATTAAACATACACTTATGATATGGCCCAGTTCTACTCCTAGATATTTTGCCAAGAGAAAAAAAGCATATATCCATAGGAAAACCTGTACACAGATATTCACAGCGGCTTTGTTTATAATAGCCAAAAACTAAAACTAAAAAAAAAACCAAAAAACCTAGATGTCTTCAAGAGGTTCATGGATCAACAAATTGTGGTACATTCAGCCCTCTGAATCTACAGAATCCACGTCTGTGGATTCAACCAACCATGGATAATATTTTTTAAAATAAGTAAATAATAACAATACAGGTGCAGTGGCTCACACCTGTAATCCCAGCACTTTGGGAGGCTGAGGTAGGAGGATTACTTGAGGCGAGGAGTTCAAGACCAGTTTGGGCAATATAGCAAGACCTTGTCTCTACAAAAAAAAAAAAAAGAAAGAAAGCCACCAGGTGTGGTGGCACATGCCTGTAATCCCACCCACTCAGGAGACTAAGGCAAGAGGACTGATTGAGCTGGGAAGTTGGAAGTTGCAGTGAGCTGTGATCACACCACTGCACTCCAGCCTGGGCAACAGAGCAAGGTCCTGTCTCTTAAAAACAAACAGTACAACAATAAAAAATAATACAAATAAAAACCAGTACATTGTAACACCTACTTACATAATATTTACATAAGTAGCCTAGAGATGGTTTAAAGTATATGGGAGGATATGCATAGGTTATATATAAATGCTAGGCCATTTTATATTAAGCAGTGGTCCCTAACCTTTTGACACCAGGAACTGGTTTCATGGAAGACAATTTTTCCACAGATGGAGGGGGGGAGGGTGGAACTCAGGCAGTGATGCCAGGGATGGGGAGTAGCTGCAAATATAGATGAAGCTTCTCTGGCTTACCTGCCACTCTCCTGCTGGTTCCTAACAGGCGACTGACCAATACCAGTCTTTGGCCTGGGGATTGAGGACTGCAGATAAGGGACTTGAGCATCCTGGATTTTGGTGTCTGTGGAGGAATCCTGGAACCAATTCCCCAGGATACTGAAGGATGATGACTGTATATCCATATAATGGATCTGCAGTGACAGAAACAATTCACTGGTTGCCTGGAAGCAGGAGGGGTGGTAGGAAGGGATTACAAAGTGGTACAAAATCTAGGGAGTGAAGGATATGTTTATATCTTGATTGTGGTTATTGTGCATGTGTATTTGTGTGGGAAATTTATCAAATTGTAGACTTTAAATATATGCAGTTTATTATATGGCAGTTATATCTCAATATAGCTGTTTTAAAAAATGGTAATAATGCTTGCCACTGACTGAGAACTTACCATATGCCTATTTTGAGAAAATCCCTGGAGGGTATAGAAAAAACACCCTCCAAACTGAGATGGTGCCAAGAGACCAAAGAAATGACCCAGACCAATCCAGCTTGACAAGTTAGATGAGTTTATTAGAGGTTACTCACACAGGGCTCTTATTCCCATTCAAGAGAGGAATCTTCTGGGCACTCACTCCTGGGCAGTGGCAGGAGTTCTTTGAAGAGTAAGCTGCTCACTGCCTGCCTGTTTGTGGAGCCTTAAATTCCTTTTAGCAAGTGACACAGAGCTCTCTTTCCATGTTATCACATGTTTACATATGATACAGGTTTAGCATGCACAGTACTTTTTATAGGGGGGGGACCTTTAGCATTACAGTTAACTAAAGGATAC